GGGGGGAGGGGGGCGGGGAGTGTGAGAGTCGGGGCCAACTTTTAACTGCATAGAAATGCAATTTAAAATAAGGAGGGATAGTTATCGCCACCTTTGGTTTTGGCAAAGATTGTTAAAAGGGCTAAGACAGCCTGCGCTGTGAGCTCCGGGAGACCAGGGCGCGCTCCCAGGCGTGGGCGGTAGATAGCTTTCCTAGAGGGCTGCCCGGCACCAGCATGTCACCAGAACGTCTCTCGTGCCTGCCCTTGGACCCGGCTGCTTCACTTCTAGGGATTTAGAGAGAGAAACCGGCAGCTCACTACCACATCCGGGGCCAGTGCTGCTCTATTTATACCGCAGTGGTGAGAAGGGGAGGGAGGGGCTCAATGTCCACGCGGCGGGATAAATACTATGGAAAAACGCGGTCTTCCCCGAGCCTCGACGGGAACGCTGTCCACGACAGAAGCCAAGTGAAAACCAAAGTTTTAACAAACAGCTCGTACCCTGTGACCGGGCTGAGAACAGCCTGGACGGTGTGCGCCGACAGTGAGCGGGGAACTGACGGGGACTTTCATTTTACCCCCCAAATCCTCGTGCGGTAACCACCAAACAATTCCGACAGAAAGACGGAGGCAAGCGTGGGCTGTTCATAACCAAAGGGAGAGCCTGACCTTGTTGGTAAGCAGGTGCATCGACGGCGCACCTGCTGGCTGCAGACCACCAGCGCGGGCCTGGGACCCGGGCTGGCCGAGGGAGGGACGGGCTCGCCGGCGGGAAGCGCGGAGCCCTCGCTGCGCTGCGCGCGCTCTTCCTGGACCCCCGCCACCCCTCGCCCCCCTCGCCGGGGCGCAGTTTCCACCCCCAGCCCCTCTCTGAGCCGGCACGGGAGTCTCGGCCACTCTGTCACCACCTCCAGCCATTTCTTTCCCGGCATCTACTATGCTTTAGGCCCCTGTTTAGTTACTTGATAAAATCTTACCGAAGCCCCTCAAAAAAAGTGTTTTTATCCCAGTTAGCTGAGCACGGCCCTCAGAAAGGTCACCGAAATTCCCGTTAGCGTGTGAGCCCCGCGAGCCACACTGTATCAGCTGATCAGCTGTCCCTGGAGGGGAGGGAGGAGGGGAGATAAGGTTCCATTTCGGGCGTGGGCCCTGGAGTCAGCCCTGGGGCCAATGTCGGTCCCATCCATCTTCTTAGTTGTGTGATCGTGGGCACCTTAGGGACCCCCCCCCCCGCGGGCTGGGATCGGCTATTTATAGGGGTGCCATGAGGATTACACAGGGCAATGCCTCTAACCGGCGAGCAGGAGCTGGGCACCGTGATGAGCGCTCTGATGGGTATGGCCCTAATGAGTTGGCCCACTTTTCAGAGGAGCCAACTGAGGCTCGTAGAGGGAGGAATCTTGCTCTAGGCTCCATGCTGGTGAAACCTAGCGGTGAGCGCCAGTGAGAGCCTCAGTTTCCTCACCTGACTCACTCCCGGGGACGCCCCGCCCCTCCTGAGGGGAACCCCGATTATCCCTCTTGGACAGCGGGGTCAGTAGAGAACCCGAAACCGGAGCGGGGCAGGGACCCCCCTAACCCCCGCAGTGGATTGGTCTGGGGGTCTTCCCAGGGGTCTGTCTGCACGCGGGCAGGTTCCATGCTGCGGCGGGAGGGATGATGCTCAACCCTCCGGACGGGCCCTCCCCCGCAGTGCAGCCTTCAGGACACGCCCTTGGCGCGGGTGCTCCACGCATGGGTACTGCAGATGCGGTCTGAGCGTCCGCGGTGCACGGGATAAAGGCGCCGGGCCGGCGTCTCCGCTTGCGAATACCCCACCTCTCCCGTGCCACGCGGGTTTCAGGGCAGGTGGGAGCGAAGGACCTGCCCAAGGTCGCGCAGGGCCCGGGAGCTGCGGTGCCGGCGGGTGGGGGGGG